AAAAAAAACAATAATTTTACATCACAGCAGAAGTTCGATTAAACGATATAATTGTCCCTGATCACCAATCGGTGATATCAATCGTGGGTTCTCAAGTCCCAAGTGCATTTTGTTAACCCTACGATTTGTTGAACGCGTCTCAATCACACATGCAAAACGTTTGATATCTCCACTTTTTTCATTATTCCTGACGTTTTCTTTATTATTCACCCAGAGATACATTGCACTCATAAATGAAGCGAATCATGCAGTGTGTCACTGTTTTTTAGCATTTGCTGGAGTGTGGAGAGATAAATGTGAGTAATACATTTTTAATAAATAAAGATAACAAGAAATTATTATCCACAGAAATTTAAACAATCAATACTAGTTGTTCATTCACCTATGTATTTATTCATCTATTTGTTCATCTGATTTATTAATTTAAACTCTATTCATTTGTGTTTCTGTTCTATCAGGTGTTTTTAATACTAATGATAATTCATGAGAGAATGAGAGAATGGGTATTTTTTGAGGTGCAAGTTTAAATACGGTATGAGAGGAAATGGAAAATCTGGGACATGGAAAATTGTGGAATATCTTTGAATTGTACTGAGGGAGGTAAAAATAGTTGGGTTGTTAAGTCGGTAATTCCAATCCACCGAAAATTCGGGAACGATCGATGAGCAGCCATTGTACTGTTCTCTTAACGTCAGCTGATTCAGCCAGATTTGTTATGATTAGATCTGTTACGTATGTTTTTGCGTAATTCCTGGGAAAGTCTTTAATGGGATTATAGCTCAATTGTACTTGAGACGTTGTGGGTGTTCCACGTTGAGTCCTCGAGCCTCGAAATTCGTAAATTCAGTTATTTGATGCATGAGGTGGTGAATTATCACGGGAACTTCACGCACTTTCCCACTGCGGACTTTCTCGCTTTTCTTGTCTCGGTATACCACATGTTTGTGTGCAACATTCAAGGTCACTCGTGGAGGGCGGTAATCACAAAAGACGATCGATTGTCGCTGACCTTGGGAAATTCTTGCTTTTGTTATCGCGAGATTCAATCCAATTTTTTACATTTGTGAGGATTATACCAGACGATGTTGCTATCCCCTACTTGTTTAAAATTTTTGGTTTAAATTTAGGGGTGAGTCCTGGTTTTGGGAAATGTCAAGATCTACGTCCTCTTTCTCTCTTTTTTTTTTAGTATTAGTATCTCTGCATATTTAGATGATACGATGAGGGCTTTTATTGGTTGGAAATGTGATCAACGTGAGAATAAGTTACATGAATGGATGGGTAGGTTTTTCGATTTCTATAAGCATATTCTGAAGTTTCGAAAAATAATTTTACAATTGATTTATGAAATAGTAAAATAGTATATTTCACAACAAGTGCGAAAAAGTGATTTTTGGCATGAGGGAGCTTTATAACACGCGCGGAAGGCGCGAACGCCAAAAATAACTTTTTACCGAGTTGCGAATAATATTTTTATTTCACAATGTGCGGGAAAGTCACTTTTCGGCACATCGTAATGAAAAACTTATTATTACAAGACTTATTATTACAAGACTTATTATTATTACCTCTTGAAAACTATCAATTAATAATTGATTTTCAATGCAAAAAATATTTTTTATGAAATTCTAAACAATTGGTTTTTTTGTATTTTCTTAATTTTTTCGCCGACAGAGAGCCAGAGCAATTACATAACGATAATGATGCCATTTCATGACTGATCCAATTTGTTGATTCACGAATCAGTGTAGATTTACCAGTAACTGTTATCCTCTCATTTGCTACCACTGAAAATATGAAATTGCCATGGAAATGAAGGTTGGATGAGAATAAACTTCAATTATATTCGATTAAACGCCTGTTCCCAGCGCACAACAATCGATACCACCTCGAAAAATCATGAAGGCTGAGCTGAAGCAGTTTTATGAGCATTTAACTGGTATTAATGTGTATATGCCGTTGGGTATGAGTTTAGTGCGATTAAATCCCAAATCCTCAACTTTTTTCTCCACGATTGTCATAAGACTTATCAGCACTCTCCACTGATAATCCACACCCTGAGAATGTGATCTCACACGAGTTATTACACAATAGTCACTGATAGGATACTATCTGTAACCACGAGGAAAGAAACTTTTTAATCCGTCCGATCTCTGATAATTCAAGCACGAGGATTTGCCTTTTCCAAGATTCGCGTCATCAATTTCCTCACAAATACATAGTATGCGTGTTCATGATGGGCAATTATTTAATGACCCAACCATAATCATAATCCATCAAAGACAATTTCAGTAGAGGCGGCTTAGGTATTTTCAACATTAAAATTGAGTCGATCTTATCGTATTTGATAGATGGAATATTATTTAGCTAAATCACTTCTCGAATCGGGAAATACAAGGTATTCTCATCAAGACGTCGTTAATACTTCATTTAATATTGAAATATTCAGAAGCAACGTGAAGCAATTTAATGTACATTCTTGGAAAATTTCAAGGAAATCTTGGAATTTTTTAAATCTACGAAGTGATTTTAAACTTCTGCAGAACTCGAATCAGTTAATGTCTTGAATATTCTGGTAATTCTCGATTTTCAGTTCCACGTGGCACTGAAAATCCGGGAAAATGTTGAAAATTCGAGCAATAATTTCCCGGAATTTTTAATCTATGGAAAATTCACTTGTATTTGACGCTGAATTTTCACGATTCATTAAAAAATTGATTATCATTGATCATGAAAATTCCAATTATCTTTAATTATCAACATAAATGGGAAATTCATTAAGCGTTAATAATTGAAATTAAATTCAAACTCCTATAATTGAAAATTCATACTACTTTGTGGAAAATTAAGAAAATTAAATAAATTAAATTCCAGACCGTTGGTAAACAGATTTATTCAGTCGAATAATCAATTCCGATGGAAACATCAGAAAATTTTCTTTTTCTGAGATTGATTTCGATTTTTTCCGGGATAATGAATTTTCTAGTTTTGACATAAAATTGGTAATAACTCAAATTATTTGCATATGGAATACAACAAGTTTCTTAATGCGGAATAGGCACGTCTCGGTATCAAAGAATGTTTTCTTGAATCTCGAATTCTCGTCAGCTCCAAGAATTTTCTTAAGGCCCGGATGGACTGTCTGGAAAAGATAATTTACTCCAAAATTGGGACTTCTAATTACTCCGTCAATCAATCGTTTTTTCCGATAATTGTTAGCTAGCGGCTTAGTTGTTGACAACCGCTAGAACGCTAGCTAACAATTATTGAAAAAAACGATTAATTGCCAGAGTAATTAGGAATCCCAATTTTGGAGTAAATTATCTTTTCCAGATAATCCAACCGGTCCTTAAGGCTTCTGCCTTCTTTTACCAAAATTACCGGTTTTTCGAGTTTTCATAAAGAAATACATCGTTTTCGTATTTTATAACTATTTAATGACTCCTAAAACGTCATGATCGTGTAACAATCTGCTTTCGTTCTTTTTAAACCTTTCAAACATTATAAAACTTTAGAAAAAGCACTGGAAAATTATTCCACACTCACGAAAATTCCCGATTCCTGAAATAGTGATAAAACACAAAAATGTTATAGGTTTTTCGGGTTAACTGGCTCAACAATTTGTCAGAAGACGTAAAAAACCGGTAATTTTGGATAAAAGGGGAGAGAACATCCTCAATAATGGAAACTCCTCCTCCAGTAACAAATTTATTTCCACCAAAAAAGTCTCTCTCCACACCAGCAACGATTTTTCTACCGAACAATTCATCCCGACATGCAATGCATTTCCCGGAGGATTTTTCCACAGGTCCGGGACAATCGAGAAAGCTCTATTATCACCTTATCACTGTCTCCAACCGCTCCAACAATAGAAATCGACCCGCATACATATCATTTGCCCGATTATTAATAGAAAATGCAATCTCCCGAGGACAAACCCACGTCGACAAGCACATTAGAAATAGCCTACCTGGAAGACTCTTTAATTTTCCTAACCAGGTCTCGAAGAGAGCCCAAATACTCGGTGTTATCTGTCAACGGGAAAATCGACAGGCGGTATATACCCTGAGGGTAGACAAAAGTCCCGAGTGTTTGCCGAAGGCCTACGATAACGGAAAGACCAATTTGGGCACCTTGATAAGAGGAAATGCCAGGAAAAGTCAGCTCCAAGCATCTCGAAAAATAGAAGAGGAAGAATATATACGAAGGGGGGAAATGGTCAATCAGAGGCTAAAGGCGATGTTAAGCAGTGACGTTCTATCCTCAGTACTAGTTCAACGATTCTCTTGTGAGGAGTCTAATCGTAATAACAATAATCACGATAAATCCACCCCTCCCCCTTCACCCTGATAACGCTTAGTTGTGATTCATCTGGAGGGAATTGAGTATCGATTTGTGGATTGGCGAATTCGATAAAATCGATCAGTGACAGTAATTTCACTGGACGAATCGTAAGAAAAAAATTAGCAGTTGACAGGATCGAAGGTCGAGAGTCCGTTCGTCTTTTAGTGTACTCGTACTAGTATTCGGATAATCTAATCGCTTCACTCTGACACTCATTGCTATTATTGTTATTCTGGTTTTCTTTTTTTTTTCTTTTTCTTTCTCTTTATTTCATTTCGAGAGGCCGGGGCGGCGATACGATAACGTGTGAACCCACAAGTTGATCGCACTCGAGAGTTCGGCAGTCCATCCAGTGCTCTTTATTATTTGCGGTTAATAATTAAAATAAAAGGGAGAAGAGCTGTTCGGTATTTCGGCCAGTTGACAGCACCGCGATTCTGGAGTTGAGTGATGTCTTAACAGTTTAATGGTGTAATTCGAAATTATCAAGATGGTGAAAAATGGAAGGAAACAAGTTAGTTGGACTGAGTTTTATAGTTACCAATTACTTGTAATGTGTGAATGGAGAGTGGAACTCACGTGTTGAATCATCATTGATTAGAATTAACAGTGGAAAATCATTCCAGTTTTTACTTGTAGCAGAATTTCTATGGGGCCTTCAGCAAATTTTCATTTAAAAATCAATGGATTTATTATTTAACACATTATTTAATAGAAATACGTTAGCGCATTCTTTTTAAATTATGGGTGTTTTATTCGTCAATAGACTTGAATTTTTTTCATAAATATTTCGGATTGAGAGATATGGAAGAATCCAAATGGATTGACGTTTTCTAAAATCTGAATCTTTATGAAGAACTTCTAGAGAAAGCGCTAGCTGTTTTCATTGAATATTTTTTATCCGTTTGATGAAGGTTTGTACAATTATTTTTGTATTATAATCGAACATGAAGAGGTTGTTGAGGATTATATACGTGACACGTATAACGTAAGAGCACAAGTTAAATTCTTAAATTGATGGCAACTCATACACAATGAGCATCGTTTATAATCATGTCTATAGACGGCTAGAGAGATACTCTTGGAGTTTAGATTCCTTGCGCCATTTCACACGTTTGAATGCCTCTAACTTTTATTTTATTACCGAACAATTCCCAATTCAATTAAACCCACAATAAACCCAATCATTCACCGATATCCAAATGAACCCCACAAAATCATTAGTATTTAAATCCAGTAGAGAAGTGTCAAAGTGAGATAATGACAATTAAAAATATCCCAAGGTTTTTAAAACACGAATTGATTAAAAAATCATTGACTACACGAAGACATCAAAAGAGCTTCATCACAAATTTAATGATCTAGAGAAAAAGCAATTTGCTGTTTTCACATCAGAGAGTTTTCACGTATAGTTTTGGAGATAAATAAATAATTATAAGATATTGAAATGGTCTTATCTGACTTATTCACTTCATTTGGAATTTTTATAGGAAATAAATGGAATGTGTTTATGGAGAGAGTAATGAAGATTCTAACTGATTAATTTGTTTGTTCAGAGTATATCAGAAGTGCTGTGGAAGCCGTATTGTTCACCGCATGGGTGCCTGGGTTAACGACGGTTCAGTGGTGGTGAAGGTGGTGAAGGTTGTCTTAAACAATAGTAACGCTAAAAGAACTAAGGAACGTATTCTGCTGCATCCCCGCACGCGAACTAAAACGCGACGACGTATTGTCGCGTTTGACCACACTAATGACAACAAAAAAGATAATCCAAATAAACTTGTCTTCCAGTCATTCACTTGCACAACCACGACGATATTATCATTGCCAAGTAAATTATCAATCGAAAAGCCCGAGTGGCTCGTATTGCCACTGTGCAAATCAAGGACGAAACCGATAAACATTTATCAGTGCGCGAGTGTTTAATTCAGGTGAATTAATTTTATCCACCAGCCGATGTGAATCCCCGAGAGTCTAAATAATATGATAAATCACCTCGAGTGGGTATAATGGAGGCAGAGTGGATTGACACAGTGCATCGTGATAACAATGAAATAATCAAGGGCAATGATAGAGATAAAAAAATTCCCGAAATTTTAACGGTGTTGAATGGCAAGAGGTCTCACCATTCAATAATGCTGGAGAACAAGGAGAAGACAAATCTAGCTTATGAGGATGAGGCGAGCGAGGATGTGGCATTCGTCAAGTACCGAACAAGAAATAATGAGCAAAGTGGGAGTGACATCAGGAAAGAGGCTCGTGAGGCTATCACCAAGGACAGACAAGAGGCTCAACAAAGAAACGAGAGAAATGACAACATCAAACGACCGGGCAGTCTATACACCCGGAATCTATCCGTTGATGACAAGGATGGCAATGAGAGTGTTCTCAATGAAACGTCGATCGTGGGGAATGGTAACAAGTGCCTTCGGGTGAAGTTCAATGCGTCGAGGACCAAAAGATCGTCAAAGCCAAAGGACGATGGACACCCGAGTCCTTCAATATCGACAGCCAGCAGTTCTCCTTCCGCTGAGGGATCCTCCGAAGACAATTCCAGTCTGGGTCAATTCTCTGAGGCTCGTCCCACTGATGGTGGATGGGGCTGGGTCGTTGTCGCTGCTTCCTTCATGGTCAATCTCATTGCTGATGGTATAACTTTCTCGTTTGGTGTCATCTACGTGGAGTTTCTCAATTACTTCGGCGAGGGCAAGTCCAAGACAGCTTGGATTGGCTCTCTCTTCATGGCGATGCCACTTTTGTCAGGACCTGTTGCCAGCTTTTTGACGGATAGGTATGGCTGCAGGAGGGTATCCATAGCTGGGAGTATTTTGGCAACTTTGGGATTTGTCATATCATCGTACACGAGTTCAATGGCCGTTCTTATATTTACGTTTGGTGTGATATCGGGCTTTGGTCTGTCACTGTGCTTTGTCGCTGCTGTTGTCATCGTAGCCTACTACTTCGACAAGAGGAGATCATTCGCAACGGGATTGTCGGTATGCGGCAGCGGAATTGGCACTTTTATATTTGCACCGTTGACCCAGTATCTTTTGGCTGAGTACGGGTGGAGGGGTACGACCCTCATTCTTGCAGGATTCTTCTTTAATTTGGCGGTTTGTGGGTGTCTCATGAGGGATTTGGAGTGGACGACCATTAGGGCGAAGGCCAAGTGCCAGGAGAGAAAGCGAAATCGAGAGAGAAAGAGAACTAGCAGAATTCAGAGCTCAAGTGCTGATTCTTTCTCTGCTAGCTCTTCGGCGAATACGACAACGCATACACCGGGTGTCGCGAGTTTTTCAGCTGCATCAGCAAATCCAATTATTCTGGAGAACTCCAGGAGGCATGTGGAGGAGCATGGGAAGAATTTTTCTAGTCTTCTCACTCTACCGACGTTTTTGAAGAATGGGGATCAGGTGCCCATTGAAGTTCTGGAGTTACTTGCCACTAGGAAAGATGTTTATAATATTCTGCTGCATAATTATCCGAGTCTTTTGACATCATCGAGAAGTTTTAGTGATTCAGCGACGATCAATGATGGAGTTAATTTGCCGGTTGTCTGCGATGATGAGTTGACCAAGGCGAAGGACAGGGAAGAGTTTGATAATTTGGATAGGAAGAGCAAGGTGAATAGTGAGAAGTTTAAGGAGACTAATGATGATGCCGCTGTCTATCTCTGGTGGCTGAGGAAACTCCAGCCTGATGACTGTCAATTGCAGAGATCTTCGACACTCGAGGCACATCGAAGGCTACCCACTGCTTATCTGAGGAATATTCGAATGCACAGGCATAGTCTCACCTATCGCGGTGCAATGCTCAATATCAATAGGTACAGGCTGAGGGCATCCAGCTGTCCTGATATATACAGGAATTCTATGACCACCATTGCCAAAACAAAATTGGTTTGGTACTCCGGGGTGTGGGAGTTCTGGGATCTTGTCGTCGATATGCTGGATTTTTCACACTTTGCTGACTCGAGATTTCTCCTTTTTTCCATTAGCAATTTTCTGCTACACACCTGGTACGATGTGCCTTATGTTTATCTCACTGATAATGCCATTGAGATGGGATTCAGCGAGACTGATGCTTCTATGCTCATCTCGGTTATTGGGATCACCAATATGCTTGGAGAGGTAGTGATTTTCCCTTGCCCTTTTTCGTAATGGCTTTTTCATTTTTTTCCCTGAAAAAAAAAATCGCATGGGAATCTTCAATTTTTATCAATAACTATATTTCTGTTGCGAAGTGCTAAACTGGGATGAAGTGCACTTTTGTGTCATGCAAGCTTTTAGCCGATATCTCGAAATGGAAAGAAGATAACGATATTTTTATGAATACCTTTTTTCTACCTCTCACCTTTTTCTAGAAAAAATGTTAGTGTGATAAATAGCTGTGGTCTTTCAATTCCGAGATATTGGCTAAAAACTGATATGGAAAAAATAAAACTTATCGTAGTTTACTAATTTGTTACTGATTTAATTTTTATTGGAACTTTAGAATAATTTTATTCAGTTCTGGTAGGAATTGAATAGAATTTTGTGGAGGACCCACTAAATTTTGAACTAAATTTTTTTTGCAAGCGATGGAGATGCTCTGAGAGTTGTTGAACGAATTTCTAAGGGTTTGATCGGAATATATTGGAATATAATTATTTTTGGTTTCAGATTTTCCTTGGATGGGCCGGAGATAAAGTCTGGGTGAATGCTTCCATCGTTTATGCAGTATGCATGATACTCTGTGGTGCTGTAACAAGCATAATTCCACTTGTTGTCAGACATTACTACGCACTCTGCGCGGTTTCTGGTGCATTTGGTATTTTCATTGCTGCAAATTACAGTCTTACGAGTATTATTCTTGTTGAAGTTATAACGCTTGAACGTTTTACAAATGCCTACGGTCTCTTGTTACTGGTTCAGGGAATTGCCAATCTCATGGGGCCACCACTGGCTGGTAAATATATATTCATAATTAACAGCAAATCTCATTAAACGTTTCCCATTTGCGTAGATAAACAACAGTAAAGTTGGAAACAACTAACAGAACAATCATACACTTGGAATGAAATATTCATTTCAATTTTCATGTCTATTTACTCGCGTAGAAAGTAAGTCTGTAGAATTTCTGTTGGAACTCTATCAAAATTCTATTGGATTTGTAGTATAATTATGCGAATTGTCAATTTATAGGGATTTTTAAGTACAAAACTTTTTTAGAAAGATAGTTCATGTTTTATTGTCTCTTGATTAAATAGAGTCAGAAATTATTCCTTGATAATAAGTCTTTGAAATAAAAATCCAATCGTAGTATTCATTATATTGATATTTGTTTTCATAATCCAACAGAAATTCTCAACGAAACTCGATTTTTTTGTCCTCATTTTTTATTAACAATTTAATTGTTTTTTTTTTAGGTTTGCTCTATGATATCACAGGCACCTACGACCTGTCATTCTACCTAGCAGGATTCTTCATTGGTCTCAGTGGGATTCTCCTGATGGTAGTCCCATGCATCGAGATGTATCGAAAATACTCTCGAAAGAATAACGCCAATCTCTCGAGAAAAAATCTCGCTGCTGGAATAAACAGCGTGTGAACAATGGAGTCATGAATTAATTGAGTTAACAAAAAGAAAAAACAACAGACCAGAACATAACAATAACAAAAGCTGGGTTTAACGGACCCACATATTTGTCTATTTATTCATCAATTAATCTGAACAGTTATTTATTTATCAATTGTGCTTGCATGCACGAAGGAATAGACATCGGAACGGCTGTCAAATTTTTAGTGACGTTTGTACAAATGCAAAAATATGTCTCGGAATTTTTCCTTATACTGAAACTTCCATTTGATTATAAATTCAATGAAGTTTAGTACTAGATCGAGATCCTTATTGTAATTTATCAATTAATCTATACGACTCTGTACGAATTAGTGATGAAACAATATTATTGAACCGAATACATTTTTTCGACGATCAGAGGTTAGTAGGAATAAATGAATAAATAAAGTATGTAACAATTTCTTGTTAAGGCTCCGACCCATTCGAATCTCAGGATAGTTGATTGAAATTATGAGGTAAATTCTGCAATTCCTGTAGAGTGGAGAAAAGCTTCTGAGAAAATTAGAATACGATACGAATTGATCGACTATATCTTCAGTGTTTTTTTCCACAAGAAATATAGCGAATGTAAATAATAATTCTGTTATTCTCTCGTTCTTCATTGAACTTTTTGATAATTCAAAATTCTACATCCAATTATTCAGCTTATTCCTTCACGCATGAAAAACGTCATAGTAAAACCTAGTGCTTCCTCCGAGAAATTTCATTGATTTTATTCTATAATTCTATTTGTTCTTTCACGTCTTTTGCTGCAGGTCAATTTTCTAGCAACAAATATCTGTTTCAACCCACGGGGTCCTGATTTTTAAATAAATTACCGCAAAAAAACTAGAATGTTCTGATAGAATTTCAATAGAATTCAGTAGAAATTTTAAGAGAAAGCGCAGGATTTTTTTAAGGTATCTTATCAAAAAATTTGTGTTCGTCGTATTCACAGAGTATTTGCTTTAGTGGAAGCATGAACAAGTGTAAATAATCGGCGGCAAATATTCTGGGAGAGGAAACAATAGTTTTATTTGTATATAATAGCTTTCTGTGATGATAAAGGATAAATGAAAAAATGTGGGAACGATGGAGTTGTGCGGAGTGGGTTTTATCGAATGTAAAGTCGAATGTGGAATACATACTCTTATTTTCGATGAAATTTGAAGATCTTTAGTAGGAAATCTGCAGCGGCCTTACTGGCGTCTTATGGAATCCGGAGTAATATTTTACTATAAGAGATAATTATAGAGGTAGACGAAACGTTCGAACATTTTGGAATAAGTTAATATAGTTGAATTGGTGACCAAGTACGATCCTAGTATTAGTCGGGAGACATTGGACGTTTATTCGATATTAAGGACGAAGTTATTACAACGAATCCTTCGGAGATTCAATTACTGAATTGATATTTGAAAATTTAAAATTTTCGCCGATATTCTCCAAGCCCTAGCGAGTAGGAGGGATGGATTTTCCTATTGTTCTCATGTAGCGGTCAATATATTGACAAGTTAATCATTTTTTAGTCATTCGAGTGCTGTTGAATTTCAAATAAATTAATGGCCTTCCGTCGTTATGAGGATCACGTGGAAAAAATTATGTCCAAGCTCACAAGACATTCTATTCAATCAATTTTAATAGAACAAGTGCAGAAGAATTTTACGGAAAAATTTATTCACTTTTTGGTACTTTGTATTGAATATTCACGACCAAGTCGTGACATTTTCGTAATAGATATTTGAAGAAATCCAATAGATTTTCATTCAGTATCAAATAGGTGAAGGGCAACAACTCGACGTATTTCCTAGTCAATTGAAATAGCGAAATTGGTCGAGCTTTTCCGATTCAAATTTTCTGTGCGCAATGAATCCATCGTTGAGTGAAAATTAATTCGATTACCACCCGAATAGAAAAAGATATAACACAAAAATTACAACTGAGATATAGTATTTTGTCGGAATTTCCTAAATATATCCTTAAATATTTATATCTTGGATATATCTTCACTGTGAGCTTCGAGATATATCTGATATATATATATCCAATATATATTTCAGATCGAAAATCTATTTCGGATAATGCATTTTTTGAATAAAATATATGCGACCTATATCCGGATATAATTGTCATATATTTCTGAATATATATTTTTCTCATTTGAGAAATGGAGGTCTTTTTTTTATATGCGATAAGGAGTGAAAGTGGAATTTCTTTCGAGTAATAATTTTTTGTTTTTCTAATGGATCATCTAAAGTAGTTGAATTTTTTCAAACGTGGTCCTCGATTCAGTGCCCTCAACATGGAAATATATATTTCTTAGAAAACGGCCCGATACATATACTGTATGTGAATTAGCATGAACAAGTTAATCTTGATGAGAAGAGTCAGGCACATTCAGCATATTCAGAGCATTCATCAAATAAAGATTAAAAATGTAATCGAAACTGAAACAAATCATCCAACCTTCATTCCTGTCTTCCATAGAACTAATTAAAAATGTTCCTTTAAAAGCCCACATTTATTATTTACTTATTTGTTGAGAAAAAAATTAATTCTTTTATAATTGCATCAAGTCTATGTAGATAATTTATTCAACATCAAACAAGTTAGTTCGATCCATGAATTCCAGACCTTCAGCCAAAAAAATATAGTAAAAATACAGAATTTTCATAAATTGTTGAATATTAGAAATAGTTGTTCCTTTTTCATAACAATTGCGACCAAAGAATCCCAGCAATTCGCAGTTTTCTTAATGTCTTGATTTGAATTATTTTATTCTATTATTTTTTATTCTAGATTTTGAAGAATCAATTTTAATAAATCAATTCAAACAGCATTCACTTTTAATCCAAAACTGGAATACAGCTTCTAGTTAATCAGATAACCCATCTCCAGTTTGCTATAGAAACGAAGAGAAACGGTTAAAGTTAATTCCCATTCAGTCGAAAGATAAAAGATTGACAATGTTTTTTTAGTCGTTTTTTTTTTTGTCAATAGACAGAAATGTGAAGACGTAAGAGCGTGCGTCACATAATAATCTGATAGTATACAATAAATCAGTCAGTGTGACCCCAGACGAAAGCTATCCAGCATGTATGAGGGAATAAAGTACGGAGTGCGCAAGAACGCAAACAGAAGGGACATGCGCCCCCCGATTTTTTTTCTTTCAATTCATTTTCAGGTGTTCTACGATTTATTTCATGAGGGATATCAGTACATTCGGAGCCGTGGATTCCTCCAATAGTCTGAGTAACGAGTACTGTAAATAAGTGTTGATAAAAGGTGTATTCCGATCACCTGTCTGTCAATTGATCTAGCAATTTGGGTTGAAGTATTTCGATGACAGCGCGACATTGACGGGGGTGAAATATCATTGACAAGTGATTAACGGTCCAGTTGATTAATCATTACTAATCAATGAGTGGCTTGAGATGATCTATATGTGAGAGTATTCTGATTAATAAGAATATTTATTAATAAACCATCATTTTTGCTGTAAGTTTCTCCGGAAAACCTTGACGTACCCCCTCATTAGACTATAGATAGTAAATTCGCTCGATAAGTATTAAACACTGCACGACCTTTGATACTAAATGTATTTGTCTTTTCAGTTCAATTGCACAGTGGTTTATTCTTTATAATAATAAATTTAAAAAAAAAACAAAAAAATCGTAGTGGCACACGCACACAAACACAATTAATTATGGAAAGGTGACTATTCAATGTTTATTTAATAATTTCCATCCTGTTTAAGATTATCTGTGTTTTTAGGGGGGGAAGATTGATTTCTGGGAGAAACTTTTGTTTTATTCTCTGTGACCTCAGGATTCAGATCGATTTATGATGTGTGACGTTAATTTACTCGCGGTTGGTGTATCTTTGTGAAATTATACAGAAGATAACGGAGACATCAAATAGAGGAGCGAGTTGTTATTTTCACCGTGGATTTTTAGATATTCCGGAAAATGGGTATATGCGATTTTACCGGCTTATTGAACAGTCAAAAATCGATCTGGTATCCATGGAGATGAGGGAAGCGCTGCACACCCTCTCCTTCTGCATGACCCATCCCACGTCAGTGCTTTTTTCCTCCCGCATATATGTTGTACTTAGAGAATAGTAATCCTGTAATGATCATGACTCTGAATTATTAATACGCTGACTCACCTCTTGAGAAAGCTCAAGGTCAGGGAAAGCCCCAGGGAGGAAGAGTTGATGGATAACTCCTCCTCCGTAATGATCGTATGTAATTAGGCTCTGTGGAATTTTATTTCAGCCTCCAGGGAACGTCGTGCTAGTTTTTCTCATTTTTCATTGAGTTGATTAATGGAATTGCCGAATTTTCATTCGTTTGCTCGTTTTTTTTTAGGAAAAGCTGGCTCCTTGAATATTTTATGGAATTTCTATTTTTAAGACGATGGGACAACTTGGAGTATTGAATGTTGGTTTGGAGATATGAGTGTGGGCGGCTATTGATTCACATTTTTTATTTATTAGAAGTTCAGGTTGTCATGTCTTGTGGTCGCGATTTCAGAGAATTTTACGAGTGGAAATACAGAATTTCAGGGACAAATTAATGCATGATGTAAATTTATGGGGAATTTGTTAGGAATTTGCAACCGTTTGCATTCATATTTACGAAATAAACTTCAATACACTCATCCTCTAATTAATTAATTAAAATTAATTAAGACTGATTGATGGGCAATTGATTAGAGTAAATAATGTGGTGTTCAAGTTTAATTTTTCATTCATTTTTAAAAAATTAGTTGTTTAATTTAATTTTATTCAAGTTAAATTTCTTATTAATTTTTTAAATTGGTTGTTTAATTTAATTTTAATTCAAGTTTCATTTTTAATTCTTTTTTTTAAATTAGTTTATTGTCGATTGACTAATTAAAATGTCTCGATGAAATTAAATGAAATGGCTGTGAATGAAGGATCTATTTTTTTTTTAGTTAGAGTGTATAATGAAAATTTGGATTTTCATTTCGCATTTCTCTGCTGCCACGAAATTCGGAAAGTCTCATTTATTCTTGGGCTTGTGGCCCTCGGATTTCCTTAACCCATGACCCACTCCCACGCGATCACGCGATCTTTAAGAATCTCTCCAGGAAATCCGTCTTACCCCTAGGCTAATTACCCTCCACGAATAGCCGCTATAAATATGCCTCACAGCACTTTCCTTTTCAGTACTTTTATTTTTCAGCGTTGAATTATTTAAATATTGAACCGCCAGTTTACGCATGCACATTCCCATGCCCAATCAAGCATGATTTTAGTTCTAGTCGTATACATCATCGCAATGGTAAGTCGCTGTTTACTCACGTACCGCAATTACAATGTGGAATTATTATTTCTTTCGGATTCCTGCAATCCCTAGGAAAATCTCTTAACTCTAGAAACTCCATTGATATTTTTATTAAAAAAATTTAAAAGACGCACTGAACATTTTTTTTAATTTCAGTCGCAAAGTCAATAATTCAAATTTTTCATTATGAGTGTCTGAATCCGATTTCAATTAAAAACAGTAAATAAATTTATTTTTTTTTGAAAAGTCAAGAAAATTCGTCCTTTTTTTAAATAAATGATCATGGATTTTTTAATGAGAGCTTGAATTTTCAGGTTCATCCCACATAAATTTTATGTCACTTTATCGTTGTTAAAAACTTCAAGATTTCTATTTGAAATTTCAATTGTAATTTCCCAATAGTGTATTTATTTATACAGGTAAATCCCATTAAAAAAGCATTTCAACGAGATTTTCCTGGAATTCCAATAGAACTTCACTAGAATTCCTAGAGCTGCTTTATAATTTCTTACAAAATATTTAATGAGAGCTTTCCTAGAAGCAAATAAAATGACATTTGTCTTTATATCATTATTAAAAAATGTTCTCCAAAAAATAATAAGTCTTGATTTCGAGCGATCAAATCCACCGACCGACTAATAAAAAAATGATAGCACCATTATTAATAATCTAATGAACCTCCAACAGGTTGAAGAGCAATCTAAAGGAGGGTGCATGCTGAGGGTGAAGAATCACCGAAAGTGCCGCCGGCAAAACTGGATAAATCGTTTGTTACCTATGCTTTGTAAGCCGATTTCCACACACACCGTAACCTTGAGCAATATCCAAGGGCTAAAGGGTTGGCCCCGTCGTTGGATCCACACGAGCAGCACAAGTTACATTTAGATCAGCCATGTCCGACAAAAACGATAACATTCTACTCTCCGAGTCGAAGTCAACGCATCCAGAAGACATCCACCAGAGGAACAACAACTGCCCGAATGGGACATCCGATTCCATCAGTAGATCCAACAACAACGATAGGCCCAAGCCACGAAAGGAGGGTCTCTACGCAAAAAAGGATAGCCCAAGGAAAGGACCAACATCGCCAGAGAGAAAGGAGGATGGCTCGAGCAAAAGCTCGGGAATCGGTCGGGACTCGACACTGGCCTTGAGTATAGATCCAACGAGTCTTGAGTCCCTTCCTCCAGACAAAAACGAGAGCGAATACGAGTCGTGGTTGACACTGGCGAGTCCTCCAGTGGAGCGACCCCAGGGAATTTACAATGGAAGACACGACAGGGACTCGATCGACTCCAGCACGATGGATGTTGTCTTCCAGAAGGATCTCAAGGATAAGGAGGAGAAGTCCAAGGTGCCAGATGGTGGATGGGGTTGGATGGTTGTCCTTGCATCTCTGGTGATCTCTATGATTGCCGATGGTGTATCCTTCAGCTTTGGTCTCCTTTACATCGAATTTCTCAATGCATTTGGCGAGTCCAAGGCGAAAACAGCCTGGATTGGTTCTCTCTTCATGGCTGTTCCTCTACTATCAGGACCTGTTATGTCCGCTCTGGTTGACAGATACGGTTGCAGAAGGATGACTATCCTCGGTGGACTAATTTCAGGTCTTGGGTTTGTTCTCAGCTGGCAGGCTAATTCCATTGAGGTAATGTATTTGACTTTTGGGCTGCTTGCTGGGCTGGGACTGGGTCTGTGCTACGTAACTGCGGTCGTCAGTATTGCATACTGGTTTGATAAAAAACGTACACTGGCTGTTGGCCTTGGGGCATGTGGCTCTGGAATTGGTACATTTGTTTACGCACCGATGACCACTTTCTTCATTGATGAGTATGGCTGGAGGGGCACTTGTTTGTTATTAGCGGGAACTTTCTTCAATCTTATTGTTTGTGGAACTGTTATGCGGGATCCTGAGTGGTGGCTCATCGAGCAGAGCAAGGAGAAGGGATTTGGAACTCCAAGGAAGAGTCTTGCTAGGTCTGAAGGGGGTAGGTCATACTCTGCTATCAGTACTGAGGACTTTCCTGGTGTTGAGGAGCTTCGGAGGCTGCTCAAGAGTGGAAAGGCTCCTGAGTATTTACTTCAGAGCTTGAGGACCAGCACTGAGGTACCTGCTGCCAATCAACAACCTGGAGTCGGCTTCAGGAGTGTTGTTAATCTTCCCACTTTTGTTAAGCAGAGCGAAAAGGTAGGCGAATCTGGAGAGAGAAAATGGTTTTCCATTTATGATTTATTTTCAGGGATCAATGGTTTTAGACCACTCAAGGATGGGCGAGATGATGCACGATATCGATCATTCATTTTTTCAAAATTAAATCTTCTCATAACCCAAGGGTTTATTTTCTGTAGAGTCATCTCATATGGGGGACCAGCAGAATTATCACTCTCAGAGGAATATGAGAATAAAGAAAAATTTTGAGAATGAGATTCCAGTCTGTGAAAATAAAGTCATTGTCTAATTTTTTACTAAAATAAAAAAATTAAGAAGAAAAAGGAGAAATTAAAACTGAAAAATATTCTCAAGTAGTCAATGCCCAAATCTCATTTCTCACATTTAATAAAAATTTGGAAAAACCGAATGACATCCATGTTTCAGGTACCTCTGGAGGTACTGGAGTCACTCTCGGGTAACTCGAGACTCTACAACGTCATCCTCGAGAATTACCCTAGTCTTCTGCTGTGCAGAAGTCTCTCAGATAAGAAACTCGATGATCAAACGACTGATGCCAATAAGACTGGAGTTACCATGTCCATGAGGTTACACAATTGGTCTGATATCCGCATCCCTTTTTATTTTTACTTTTATTATTATTTGTGCGTTATTCCATGCACGTGTAGACTGCACGGAGAGAAATTCTGTAGAAAAACTCCATTGGTGGTAGAGATACGAATAAAATAAAAATCTATCAACATTTATAGTTGTGGGATGAGGCTTGGAATTTCAAATTAATGAGATGAAAGTTCATGGACTGTTTAATGAATTTTTTAAGACCACTGGAATTTTTGTATAAATAAATTTTCTCCGGGTGATGATAAGAATTAAAGAGAATTATTTCTTCTGGTTTTAACGGAATTTTTTATATTTCAGGATTAAACAAGCGACTGATAAGTCACCACCTCAGCCAGTGGTTACGAAAGAGCTGAGGGAATCTCGGCCAGGGTCCACTCATGCCTCCACGAGGGTTCTGGCCCAGAGGAGAATGTCCAAGAAGGATCTGGAACTGGCCAACCCACTGTTGGCGAAGGAATTGGCACAAGCTGTAAAAAAATATTATCATCATTCCATCTGAGTACTCAGTTCAAGGAAAATTACGATTTTTGCATTTTTGATTGGAATTTATTTCTAAATACAACGGGTACAGCGAGAAAATATTTGGACCGAAACTATAATTAAATAATTATGGAAAGCCCGCACTTTATCTATCTACCTGTCATCTTTGGTTTGAATTTTATCCTGTTACAATTCTTTAAAATTCGAACCAATCATTTCGTTCAATACAGTACATGCAGGACTTTAATTAATTAGTAATTTATAGAGAGAATTCATTGCGTCTTTTTCTTGGCACTGTGGGGACAATTGAAAAATATCCGACTGAAAATTATGGAATTAAATTGGCAGATAGCAGAGGCGGAAAAAACGAAGAGCAATTCGAAGCACCATCTTCCTGGGTTCGGTGGAGGTGTCGTGAGAACTGATTCCCTTCCCTGGCTCAGACGACAGTTCAATACGAATACTCATTACTTCAAGGACATACGAGTCCACAGGAATTCGCTGATGTACCGAGGGGCTGTGATGAACCTCCACAAGTACAGGCTGAGAGCCAGCAGCTGTCCCAATATCTACAGGAACAGTATGACGACCTTGGCCAAGGAGAACGAAGAAGTAACACGCATGAAAAAAATTCATTAAAAAATCTAGCCCTTTCATCAAAAAACCCTATTGAATCTCGAACAAAACCTCATATAACTTAATTAACAGTTCTATTAGAATTTCAACAATTCTCTTTTCTTTGGAATTAGCTTTATAAAAAATTATGTAATTTTATCATGTCATTATGTCAAGACGTATTGTTTGATAGAAAAAATTGATAGATTTTCAATTTTCTACTGAAATTCTTGGGGATAAATTATCTGTTTTATTCCCTGTCTTTATTTATTTACAGTAATGAAATTGAATCAAAAAGCTTGGAAATATTATACCCAACAATCTTTTACCGAAAAAACCTCAACAGAATAACTTTTTCGGGAAATGTCGATTTTTAGAGAAATTCATTAGAATTTTTTGTAGACAACGCAAGATTTTTCAGCGAAATTATTTCATACGTGAATAGATCCATGAATTAATAGAATAATAGATCCCATTAAAACCGGAATATTTTCCCTTGCAGAAGTGGTACAGCGAGCTGGTGGATCTGCTGAAGGGCATGATGGATTTTTCGATGTTCCTGGAGCTCCACTTCTTACTCCTCTCGTTATCAACGATTCTCTTGTTTACGTGGTTTATCGTGCCTTATTTTTACCTCGCTGAGCATCTCACGAGAAATGGATACTCAGAGGCTGATGGTGCTCGACTACTTAGTATTATTGGAATTACCAATACTATAGGGATGGTAAGGAGAGAGTCGGATAGAGTTGAGAGGAGTTACTAATCCAAAATATTGCCACTCCGTGTACTTTTAATTTCAGATTGGTCTAGGCTGGGCAGGTGACCAGCCTTGGATGAACGTCAGCAAGACCTACACTTTTTGTCTGATAGCCTGTGGAATTGCTACGATATTAATGTCGGTATTCACTCACCACTACACCCTCCTCATGATAACAACCGCCTTCTTCGGTTTGTTCTTCGCCAGCAACTTCAGCTTCACTCCGGTGATCCTCGTGGAGCTCATACCCCTAGAAAGATTCACCACAGCCTATGGATTGAGTCTTCTCTGTCAGGGAATCGGTAATTTAATTGGTCCTCCTCTGGCTGGTCTCATGTTCGATATCACCCAGTCCTGGGAGCTGTCGTTCCTTCTAGCTGGGGGATGGATCATCGTGTCTGGTCTTCTCATGGGGATGATACCCTGCACGAAGAATAGAAAATTGTGGGGCAGTGGCCCCATGGAGATGGATAAAATCGGGGAAAGGGAGTGCGATACTTAGACCGATAATTCAGTTGTTGATTTTTTATTTACTAATACTCGTTTATTTTAAGGATATCCAAGTGCACACGTCAATAAAATCAATAGGAAGCACTTGCACTTTCTTTATTTAAAGTTCAATTGAATTTTTTTATTAGAATTTTAAATAGTAAATTTTTTGTTTTTGCCGTTGTAATGTCATTTTTTCTCATGGTACAATTCAAGAAAAGAACTTGTTATACTATTTATTGATAAATGATTAAAAAGAGATTATTGTTGAGTTTCATTTTTTCTTGGGAAATCAATAGTGATGATTGATGATGATTAAAATAAAGAAATAGAGAAATAACATGAAAACAACTGGAGTCCTTGGATATCCTGGAGCATTATTTGTTGATGGAAGAAGTTAATTTTATCTTCTTCTAGTGATATCAAAGTTATATTCCTACTTTTCATTCATCAAAAAGAATGAATAGTGATTGTAATGTATTTAAAGAATTGAAGATGAGAATTATTGTTGATTTACTGCCATTCAAATGCCTTGAGTAACTCTTATTTTATTACAGTGTTATAAATAGAACCTTCCACCTGAGGGATTGTAAACTACTGAATCTGTACAGCGAATATTGAATTAGGTCCACTGTATAATAAACAGCTTGAATTATAAGTGGATTTGTATTACACGTGATAGTCTCATAATAACGAATAATAATTAATGAATAACAATGATTAATCGATAGCTTTTTGTGGAGACTCCTGGATTTTTTTGTTGTTTAATGACCTGGGGATGTGGTGGGACTCAGGGGTCCTGGACTAGAGGTTCTGCTCGATGGGGCGGAAACACCTAGAGTTCTCGCCAGTTTTTCGACACTCGTGGGAAATGTTCTGGTGATCGTCGCGTGCTGAGGGCTCATCAACGCATCCCCCATCACTCCTAATCGAAATCCAGTGCCATATCGATGGAGAGTTATCGATAGATCTGCAGTACGGGAATTTCGATAATTACTTTAACTTGCTAATTATTCTAATTTGTTTCAACAACTGTCGTTCTGCTAACGTGAAAAAAATAAAAACCTATGGCCTCTTTTTTAAAAAATTATCTCTGTTATTTTTTCATCCGAATTTTGTTGCAACTCTCTTGAAGTTTCATTTGCAAAATCAAAAATTTTTATAGAATCTTCATAAATAAACGATAAAAAGACGAACGGAAAATTAAATATATATTTATAAGAGATAATATTTATATATTATAAAAAGATTTATATATATATATATATATATATATAAAAGATAAAATTCTAACGGAACTAGAATTGCAGTATATAGAATTATGTTTTGATTATATAGAATAGATTTTTATTCAGGTGTTAGTAATTGAATATTTAAATATTTAAAGAGTGCTCACTGCAATTTCCTTGGGGTGGCGACCAGTAGACTGCAGTCTCAACCCCGTCAATTCGTAAATCACCATCAACATGTGTCAAACTGAGGGAGTATCTCCTCGTGAGATGATTCAATATAATTTTTATTAAAATTGATGGGAGGAATGACGTAAGGATCTGTCTGAAATTTTCTCTAGATGTTATTGCGTATATCGCTTTCTGTTTCCCCCTGGCTTCCACCACATTCTTCTTGATTACCTGGACGGAATAAATATCGCAATTTTCCAGGTATCAATTTAAAATTCCTCCCAACGTGTCAAATTCAAATTCCAGTGGTACGAGTATAAAATTAATTTACAGGAGTGGGTGCATAAAAATTCATAGAAACTACCTTCTAAGAAATTCAATTGCATTTTTATTAGACTCGATTTTGAGATTTTTATTTTTCTATAGAAATCCTTCGGCGTTTTTTTTTCTTTTTCATAAGATAATCCACGAAAAAATATGCATTAAAATCATGATCGACAATTTGAATATTGAAAATAGAATTGGTGAAAAAAATATAATGTTCTAAAACAATTTCAATCTCCAGTAAAATTTCTTAGAAAGAGCGTTTGATTTTCAGTAATTTATTTGATACGTAAGAAAATGGACTAATAGAATGAATTCAATTACCTCTAAAATCTCGACGAGGTCATTGTCAAAATGCGGTGTCCTGGTGGGAAGTGAAAGACAGAGAATTCCTTGGACCTCGCGATTTTTAATGAATAAAGATCTGTGATTAACATATCGCGCAGTTGCGAGCACCTGTCGAGGAATAATTTGTCCGGATTGTTTGAAGTATACCTTGAGAGAGTCAACAATTGCAGTGAGGAGGATATCGACGTGAGAAGCACCAGTGACACTCGAAATCCGGTGGAGAATGTCGAGGTCGACTTGGTCCGACCAGGCGATGACTTTTCTGCCGCAAGGTGAAATGGTCTGGAGTTGATTAGACTGGACGTTTTTTGAAAACATCTCGTTGAGAATTGATCTGGCTGCACCAGAAACGATCTGCAGGATTGACCAGACCTCCAGGAGGGACTGGAATATCAGGGGAAGGTAGCAGGAGAGGACTGAGGTCAGGGTGTCCGGGTAACAGTGTTTTTGGCGTGAGTGCAGGGCTCTGAGCTCACGGTACACTAGAATCGGGGATTTTATCGTTGAGATTATTGTGAAGTACCAGAGCCAATGGATAATCGACGTGACGTTCTGGATTGGGTCCAGGGACTTCCAAAGGGCCTGCCAGATCGTCGAGAGATTGAAATTTCGTTTCTGTGCCTCACAGTGCAGTATCGAAGCTCTTGATTTTATTTTCCTTGCGTCATTCCTGAGGAGAAATTCATCTCAATTAGTCTCTACACTGTTAAAAAACTATATTTGAAATTCTTAACAAGGATAAGGTGACAAGAAATTTCTGTAGAATTCCCCGTTGACACTCCAGTCAATTTCTTGAATATTCTGGTAATTTTTCATTTTCAGATGCATATGGAATTAAAAATTCGTGGAAATGTTAAAAATTCTATCGAAAATTCAATTGTAATAATCAAATAAATTGCCATTAAATATGAGAAGCCCAATTTTTTACAAATGTGAAGGGAAATGAAAAATTTAACAATTGTTCTTAATTGAAATTGAATCTAAACTCGCATAATTGAAAATTCAAGTGAGTTTGTAACTGACATTTCAAGGAATTTCTAACAGCGTATTACAGACCAATTTTTTAATCCGCTGGAATACTCCATTATTTGTTGTAAAATCGGTTAAAATTTATTTTCTTGTAACGTATTATTATTTTAGCGATGTGCTTAAACAATCGTTTCAATCTATGAAATGACGTTTCTCCTATCGAAATTCTCTGTTGATCGAAGTTTGAATTTGAGTTTGAGTATAAATTATTATTGCAAAATAGATGAATTAGAAATGAATAAATAACGCTCACCGTTTTGATATTTTGCATGTAGCCACGAGCACGATAATTCCAATCTTGCAACACTGAAATAAACCGATGTGGTTTTTAAGAATCTCTGGTCGCTCCATAGGATCATTATTGCACAGGAATTCGTTCCAATTGTTGCTGAAGCTCTCCGTGAGTTTCTGATGGAGTTTTGGTAGAGCTGAGGGCTTGGCGTAGAGATTGATGAAGGGAGATTCACTTTCCTGGGAATTCCAGGTGTCGGAGGAGTATTGGAGGGGTAGAAAATCAGCTAGTGTGAGGTGCTCTTGTCTCAGGAGGAGGTGGTGAGCACGTACCAAGTAGATTTGGCTCTCTTCACCTTTCGAGGAACAGCTGATCAGGTGAATCTGCCACGGGGGCAGCCCCAGGGGGAGGAATTTCGATGTCACTTCGCTCACGTACTCCTGATCGCGTTTGGAATAGTAAATTATAAATTATTTCAATCATTAATAATATCACAAACAGAAATTAATGATTTTATTTTCAATTTCTGTTCCTGATGCACAAGGAAGAACAACAGGAATACTCTTTGAGAAGACTTTCAAATTTTAACTTTTAGATATTAATTCAGAGAAGTTAATCCAATAATTTAATGACAACGTAGAGGAAAAAGATAGTAGGAAAATCCAGGGCTTTCTATAAAAAATTTTACTGAATTTCTGTTTCAAGTTTATTGAATTTTTTTGGGAAAAATGCGAAACCTTTCCTGGAAGATTGATATTTTATTTTTAATTATTTTAGATGGAATAGTTTATTATTACATTCACCTGAATATTGGTATCAGTTAGCGGTCGTCCCCGGAAGAAAGTGGGTGCATCAATCAAGTGATTGTCCAAGGAGAAGTCGTCATGGTAGCGCCAGGCATATAAACCATATTTACTACTCAATTTCGATCCCAGTGCTGTTTTCTTTGATACCAAATAATTCAGATGACTTCGCAACTCTTCATCGAGGATCTTACCGCCCTGTACTAACAGAGTACAAATTCCCTGAAGAGAATTATTAAAGTGTGAAGGAACCAAATGATATTGAATTTTATAGCGAATAATAAAGTGAGATTAGACGGATTTTAATTTCGGTAAATATCGATTGATCCATCAATTCATCAAAAAACCATTCACGTTAACTGTTTTGTTAAAAAGTTCAAGATAAGAAAACCTTGTTTATCACGAATTTAATCAGATACGAGAAAGTTTTTCGATATTTCTGCGACGGTTTCAAGGCTTGACTTATCTCACTTCACCAGTTCAGTGCTGCATTATGAATATTTAAGTTAATGAAATTAATGATAAATATAGCTTTATGTATTTGTGTTTATATATTTCTGTTCTAGCGATAAAATGAAAAACTCTCACTTGATTTTTTCCATTATCTAAAATACTTTCGATGCTATTTTTCTCCACAATAATGTGATTTGGGTACTTCCATTTGATAAAACGTATCCAACATCGGCGAAATGATTGAATAACTGCAAATAAATCGATCGTTATCTATTGGCTGAGTGTTTTCCATCAGAAAATAAAATTCTGCGGAGAGAGAAAATTCACCAGCGTAATTGACGATGAAAATAGGTGCAAAAACTATTGCAATTCCAATGGTGAGAATAATATCTGAAATAAAATGAATGTGAAATAGATTGAAAATCCAGAAGGGAGAGAGTCCACCCATTGTATCACAAAAAATCCATTTATTGTTCAATCACTTTCACCGTTGGCAAAAATTTTTTACATCAGTACATTTTACAACAAAATTCATTCAACAAATTACGTAATTGTCTGGATGAGCGTTGTGGAAGAACTGAGCGCTGGCATTTGTTGATTATAAAGCATTGAGCTATGACTTATGACCCTGCAATAAATATCTATTGACTTGAGCATGAGATACACATGACGAATGCTCAGTTGCTCAAATTGTTTCATACAACGTACATCCCCACTACGTCTCACTCTTTCTTTGTTTCGCCATATCGCTTGACGAAATTTCGAACTTGGGACTTTGAAATTTTTTCCCTCTAATTTTTAAAATATATTCTTAATCTTACAGGGGAACTCTATCCGGTAACTCCTCCTTGGAGGTTTTCATTGGTCTAATTTCAATAAATTATATCATCAAACGATAAAGATTACACTAAATTATTTAGCTATTCAGCGTGACGACTGAGTTAATATAAACAATTGCTGAAATAAGGTTTTTTAATATGTTACAGTAAGTTTTTGATTGTCCAGGGAACATTGTTTAGAATTCAGTTATAACACAGAAAGAAAAAGTTTCTGGATGTTAGAGAAAAATTTTTTGATTGGCGGACGATCAAAATGTAATTTAATCACTTTCTTTAATTATCTGTACCTGGGGTTGCTATTGTTCACATCAACTAAAAAACTAGAGTTAAAATTAAACTGTTTGGAATTTCAAAAAATCTTTTATCGTAAATGCAAAATTTTTGTATTTTTTAAGAGTCTTGGTATTTTGGTTATTTTTGGAGGATTTTGAACTTTTCCAGACATTTTGGAAAAGAATTCTTGGAAAATTAGAAAATTTGAGGTAAAAACTGGAGTGAAATGTGAAATGAAAAAGTGAATTTCAGGGAATTCTGAGTCGTCTGCGCCTCATGTGATAATTTTTCAATATTAATTTTGTCAAGAAACTGAAGAATTGAAAATGTTTGAGTTAAAAAAATTTCTACCATCAAGAACCTTTTTCTCCCAACCAACGATCTCTAAATATACATGACCATTCGGGTGAGAACGTCGGTAAGGATATCTACATCAAATGAGTCCTGCAATAATTATTGAGCAATGAAGATTAGAAATACTGATGAAGTCAATATTGGCAATGTTTGTACTTATGAAATTCTCTCTAAAGGATGATACTCTAAAGACATGATATGATAATACTGTTTAGAATCTTCTGGCGGGCTGACTATATTTCTCTTGCGAAATAATTTTATTATGGAATGGTAAACTGGAATAAGAATTTTTTATCGACCCTAGTTTTCAGCAAATATCTCGGGACTGGCTGAAGAGGACCTTTAGAATTCAGAAGAGAATTCAGAAAGAAACTGAAACAAGATAGTGATGATGAAATCAAAATAATCCGAAGGAAACTGAAAGAAGATAGTGATGATGAAATCAAAATAATCAGAAAAAAGCTGAAAGAAGATAATGATGATGAAATAAAAAAACTCAGAAGAAAGATGAAAGAAGATAATGATGATGAAATCAAAATAATCAGAAGAAAGCTGAAAGAAGATAGTGATGATGAAATCAAAATAATCAGAAGAGAGCTGAAAGAAGATAGTGATGATGAAATCAAAAAAATCAGAAGAAAGCTGAAAGAAGATAGTGATGATGAAATAAAAAAAAATCAGAAGGAAACTGAAAGAAGATAGTGTTAATGAAATCAAAATAATC